TCTGCAGACAGACGCAATTATTTTTTTTTAAAACCCATCATCCCGGATAGAAGAAAAATAGTTTGTACAAAAACTGAAGTCAATGCATATCCGAAGAGAGAGGAAAAAAAAACCACCCAAAATATATTGGTATTTCAAAACAGCCTTATTTTGGGAATGCCAACTCCTTTCTTGACAGAGGCTCCTGTGCTTTCAACAGCAGTTCAACAAAGAGAAACTCAAGAGGCACAGCTTCTTTTCAGAGTTGCAGGAACTGGGAAGCTCCACCCACTGGCCCTCTCCGTTGTTTTCCCTATTAACTGCACAAGGACCTCCTGGGAAGATTCATTGACCCGGAAAAATGGCACCCATTTCATATTTTTTTCTCTGTCATGTAAAAGGCACATGAGTCTCCCTCACAGGAAAGGTGGCGTACAGTCCTGGTGTTATTAGGACATCTCCGCAGCCAAGATGCTGCTCTTTGAAAATATATAGATAGATTTAGATATATGGGGCTGCATAGCATTAAGATAAAACCTCCCTCCCCTTTAATTAACCGCTTGGCATCAGGAACCATCATCCTGAGTACTCAATTCTACAACAGTGCTAAACACAGAAGCAGCTTTGGATCTAGAAGCAAAACAGAGAGAAAAGAACAACATGGTGGTGGGGGGGGGGTCATGTTTTGTCAAGTTCCTACACACAGCTGCTTGTTCACAGGTTTGTCTGCCACGACCACGTGGCAAAATGGTACAAGCAGTGTGTGACCTTTCTGATCTCTATCAAGCAAGAATTTCAGGGAACAACCCAGTGTAATTACAGTGAAAGTACTGAAGGTTTTTAGAGGCGCCAACTCAGGGTATCCCAACAGAACCATCAGCGGGAGTTCGGTTCTGTTTGACCAGGAAGACACCCATTTCTTTCCTGGCATAGGGGGTTATTTTCTTCAAAGTACGGGCAGGTCTGCATGATTCCCATGTACGCTGGAAAAGAAATTCTTTTAAAGAGTTAAGAGTATCCCCACAGGTTTAAGCCGTAATATCAAAAAGTCTCTTTTTGGACTGTGCTACCATTTCCCGTGGGTAGGAAGAGTTATCTTTTTAGCTAACCAAAACAAAAACACACAAACAAGGGTGTGTGTGTAAATACGGGGAGAATCAGGAAAAGAACTTTAAAAAAACCCAACAGTACTGTTTTAAAACTAACATGTGTGATTTCTGTTGAACCCACTTTGGATTGTAAGAAACAAAATCGGCCAATTTCAATGAGCAACTCTTAGCGTGTATTTCCCTAGAGAGAATCTCTCTCTATAAAAAAAAAACCCAACAATTTAAAGCTAAGAAGAAACTTAAAACACAAATTGTATCATTCAGAACACAGGGGTAAAGAAAACCTAGATGATTTCTGCAACCAAGTCATTTGGTAGGCAGTGGATGGAGAGTCTGGGATCACTGGAAAAAAACGAGGGGGTGGAGGATAAAGTTTGATTAAACAACTCTCCGGACTTCGAAAAACCTCTTCAGATAGTAGATTTGTCCCAGTGTCATGGCAACTAGCACAAGAGCTTCAAAAAAGGACCAGAGGACCACTCTGCTGTTGGTGTTGTCGTTAACTGAAGAAAAACAGGAAGAAAAAACACTGGATTAGAACATAGATTTCAGGTTCGGTGTACTCCTCTCAAACAAACCAGCCCTGTGACGCTGTGTATCCCCACCACCATCTAAACTACAGCAGGCAGGTATGTAGAGTGAAACCTCTGCCCCGTGGGATCTAGATGGTTGCCCTAGGTGCTAAATGCAAGGTGCTCCTGCTCCAACACAGCTTTGATCTGGATGACTCTGGCATTTCTCCCATGTTCAAACATGCCAACCTCAACAGCTGGCTTAACATCATTTATTTCACAGAAGACTCAATCCAAACAGGGCTTCAAGCTTTCTCTCCTGCTAAACACATCAATGTTTTCTTATCAACAATGTGTGACAACTGGTAGGAAAGGCTCCGAGCAGGTGGCCAGCAGGGAGAAGAGGTGGCTGAATCGCTCATCCTCCCCCACCTGGCCTACACAGAAGGCTTTGCTACAGAAGTGAGAATCCTTAAATACAAAGCAGATACAAAGTGCTTATAAAAATGTAGAATTACTGGAAATACACATACATAGAGGCGTAAAATTTCTGAAAACTTTAAAATAAAACAGCTTGGGGGGGGGGACAAATGGGGAAAAACAGTTTTTTTCCCCAAATCCATTTTATATGGCTTCAAAATTTCCAGAAATGTTAGATCTCGACATGCACCCATGGGCTATACCATGCCACCTACTTGCTCGATGTATCCTTTCACGCACTTCCATGTACTCCTGCTCATGCTTGACGGCTGTCATGGCCACTGCTAATTCATTAATCATTTCTTCTAGCTTGTTCTGATGAGCTGTAATCAGAAGGTATCATTTTTGGAGGGCAAATACAAAATCCAACCCCAAAGGGCCTAAAATCCTACCTGACAAACCACTACAAGTCTATCAGGAGAAGCTTGGGTTTCGTTTTAGTTTCGTCCATTTAAAAACGCACAAAAAAAGTCTTTTACCTGGTGATTAATTCCAGATCCTGGAGGTTTTCTAGTCGCACAAGACCCCAAAAATACCTCTTAGGGCAGGGAAAAACCTTGCCATAATCCCTGCCCTCTTGCACACCTCTCCATAAACATCTTCCAAACTCCCATCCAGCAGCTTTGCTGATCCACTTTGAAAAACACTGGCATAAATTATTTCCTCATTCCCATGTTCAGCGAGCATAAGGGGGAAGGGTGGGTCCCCTATGAGTCAAACAGATCTTCAGCACACTTTAAACATGCGAACACCCGTACATGCACGTTTATAACAAGGGATCCACATCTGGTTAAAAAGAACACCAAACCCAAACTATTTGCCAGAGTTTTATGGACAGCCACTCGGATTACGTGAGCAAGTATTGGGAAGGGGGGAAAAAAGACCCCCCCAAGCGAGAGGAGTTTGGGAAGCACTAGTCCACCCGCTTGCGGAAGGAAATCCAGAGCTAGAAGACCTGCATGATGGGTGCCAGGATGGGGAGAAGATCAAGGCATAAGGAAAAGTACGTAATTTAAAGCAGGGATCGGTAAGATCTGCAGGTTTGGGAGCCGTTTTCACCTTCTAAATATAAAGCAGGCCACCTCAAGTTGTGGGGCAGGGGGAGAGGAGCCCCTTCGTTTCAAAAGAGAACGATACCACTCAGTGACTTCTGAATATATACTTTTCCATTTTGGAGAGAAAATGGCAAGAAGGGTGCAATGAAGACCCAGAAAAGAGTTGATGCTACCTACAGGTTTCCCACCTTCTCTAGACCCGAACTGCTGGTCAGTTTCAGACCAACACTGCCTCTCTTAAGGCTGGTACTCAGAGATAGACCAGGAAGGGTAGGGAGCAGCCACCACTGATGGCAGCAGGGTGATGGGTCAAACACAATACCGCCTCCTCAGAGTGCAGGCAAAAGGCAGGGAGGACGTGCAGAGGAGGCTGCTTCACAGTTAAGACCCAAAGCTGGGGAGCATGCAGCTGGTTTTGCCCAAAACTCTGAGTACCACCCTCCACAAAATTGTAAAAGCAGTTCTGGATTTGGCAGGGTGGTGGCTTATACTGCAGTTCCCTCCTGAACCAATTCTGTGGGTCCTGTAAGCTTAAGGTGTTAAGCAATACAGAAGCTCCTTGTTCTCTGGCTTCTATATATGACTGCAATACCACTGGGATAATTAATGTGTGTTAGCGAGGCGACCCACACAGAAGCACACAAGGCCTCAACAGCTGTTAGCAAATTATAAAAAGCAAGGCAGGAGGTCGGCAGGCTCTTTATAGAGGCAGTACACCTACCATCCCAGGTATCTCCGCCACCTAGAGAGAAGCATCAGAGATGAACACAAATTCAGGGCCCAAAGGCTAAAGATGGCATGCACACAGGGGGGTTGTGAGCACGAACCACCTGTCAGTTGTCAAGAAGTGGGCTTGGGGCAGTACTGGAATTTGAGGGGGGTTTTGCCCTTTAAACATTGGACAGAGCGCATCACCTCTGTTTCTCCAACAGCTCCAGGAAGCAATGCTACTTGAGAAAGCCCATTGCGTGATGTCCCCTGCTGGAAGACACCATGGGAACTCTGCTTTTGACCGCAAATGGAAAGAAGGACGGGGAAAAACGGTTCGATGCAGCACAAAATAGGATCACAAGATACTCTGACTCTTTCCAGGAGAGAGAAAGAACTTGAAACTAACAAGGCATTACTGAGAAGATGCAGATAGAAGGAAAAGCAATTGCCTTCGACGCTGGTGAACCAGCACCTCCCCACCCCACGGCTTTGGCCTCACCTTCTGTCTCCATATCTTGCCCCTTTGGGGCTTCACCAGTGTCAATAGTGAACATCACTATTTTCGGGGTCATGGTGGACATTCTGTTGCTGAAGCAAAACTTGTATGTTCCATCCATGTGAGCCGCAAAGGTGTACTTCCCACTGGACTCTCTGTCTCCTTTGTAGATGTTTTTGTTATCAGGACCCGTTATCTGGAAACAAAAGAGGGGGGGGGAATTCCTATTATACTTTTTTCTTTAATAATCGCACATCCTGAAACTAGCCGGACATACTCCCTCCTCCTGTGAATTTCAGGTTTTACTGGCTGACAAAGTATACAAAAAGATTTGCTTTAATTGTTTACCATCTTCACAGTCTTTCCCTCCTGCTGGTTTTTATGTTGATTTTTATTCCCTGCTGGTGGTTTGATATTCTGCTTCTTCAGTCATCCTTTTATTAAATGATTCTTGGTTTTCACATTTTTAACGCTACTCAAAGAAATCTGGGTAGTAGATGGTTTAGAAGCCACCAGCTCAAACTCTTTTAACCCAAACTATAGCAAACATCTGGAGCTACCTCCAAATAACTCGATCTGTTTATTTGCATTGATTTGTTTAACCAAGCTTCCATCTCCCATTAAAGTAGTAAATTCAAGGGTCTCCTGTGTCTTAACTAAAATATACTACTCCTGGATATTGCAGTTGATACATGAGAGAGGGTATTTATCTCCACGCTATTTCTAACCATGACATTGCACCATGTTCCTGGTGTTCAACCATGATCCAAGGTGTTTTTTTTAATTGTAGTAGAAACAGGCTAAGGTCGACGCATAAAGCCCGAAGGTAAAAAATTAGGATGGATGGCCCATAGAGCAAATGTTAGGTTTCTGTGATTCTGTTTATCAGAATTCTGAGATATATCCACTGGTGCCTGGTACAAATCACAGGCACTTATTAAATTTGTGTACCGCCCCTATTAGTGCAGTGAAAATAAAACACAAAATAACAGTCCATCAACACGTCAAGAGGCAGAAATATCAGAACAAAATGCAGCAAGTACGGAGTTCTGAAATCAGGAATTTGGGACAGAACGGATGAGAGCTTACAGCCCTTCCACACTAAATCCAAACATGATTTTGCCCTTCGCGACCCACACTTAACATTAACTACAGCCTCCTGGCCACCTTTTGTAAATTATAACAGGGAGACTCCAGGTTCAAAGAGACGGAAGCAGTCACAAAGAAGAAGCCTTTAGACTTTTGGGAAACATTTCATCCCTCGAGCCTCTCCCAGCACCCTAATTTTTAAATTAACCCTGCATCCCATACTGTCTTCGCTACCCAAACAAGTTGACCTAAACTGCCCGGCCAAAATGTTCACAGACCATCAAATCAGGCTGGAGTATCTGAAACATGCTAAGTATCTTCTACTCCAAGAATAAGAAAGGGAAAGACCCCCAATTTTAAAAAGCTCTCCGCCTTTCTCCCTCAACAACTTAACACCACTCCTTTTCTCACAAGGCTTCCCACTCCATCCACACTTTCCCTTCAAAACCTTTCACAGTCAGTTCTGTCACCACTCCGCTTCCTTCCTCATTCTTCCGCATCACAGGTCTATCCCAATTTAAAACCTTCCCTTTCATTCCTACCATATGGCAGAGGCATTTTCCTGGATCCCATTAAGTCCTTTTACAGGTAACACCACATAATAAATAATTTAGGCAACCACATCAAAATCCTCACAGAAATATAAATTACTAAGATTCTGAACCTTGGAGGGCCAGAAAGATAAATAAATGGGGCCATGAGAAAAAAGAACAAGCCTGAATTATCTGTGGAAGCAAAAATTAAAATTTAACGACGCTCCCCTACTTTGGATGCCAGCGAGGTTAAACCCTGAGGTAAATAAGCCCGAAAAAATTAAAATTGAACTGGACTCATAGCCTGGGTGGCCAGGTAGACAAAAGAAATGGGTTCAGGAGAAAAATCAAGCCTGAATTATTTTTGGAGTCAACAACAACAACAACAACAACAACAATAATAATAATAATTAAAAAATTTCTACTTTGGATGCCAGTGAGGCTAACCACGAAGGTAAATCGAAGCCGGCCTTTTTTGACCCGCCACAAAAAAATAAATAAATAAATCCACGGCCTTTCTCACCCTCTCAGGACCGAGACACATATTTCCCACACAGACAGACACACACACGCTTTCCCCTCCTCGCCCGCCCGCCCGGACGAGAGACTCGCCTCCACGTCGATGTCGAGGAAGCCTCCCTCGGCCACCTCGAAGATGAGGCCCATCTTGGTCCCGGAGGGGACCCGCTCCAGGAAGCACTCCTCCGCGTGCGCGTCGATGCTGACGAAGTAGCCGGCCGCCGGGGCCGCCAGGGCGGCCAGCAGCGCCAACACCGCCCGCACCGGCGACATGGAGGCGGCGGCGGGATCGGCGTCGTTAAGGGGAGGGGAAGGAGGGCGAACAAGGCCGGCCGCGGGAGGGCAACGGCCGGGGTGAGGTGAGGCGGGTGAGGTGAGGAAACGGACTCCTCTCGCGCGAGCGGCCGCAGCCAACCGCAAAGGCG